GGTGGCTGCCTTCAAGTTTGAGTAGATTCTAAGCTTCTTGCAGATAAGAACAGAGTTTTATTTTGTATTGTGTCTTTGTATCCTCTGCAGGGCCTAGTATATGCTCAACTAACACTTGTGGAAGAAAGGAAGAAGGGAAGGAGGGAGGAAAGGAGAAAGGGATTGGATTATCATGCAGTTTTTATGGGAAGAAAGGTGCCGAGTAGTTTAAGCGGGGATGGGGTTTTAGTCTGCCAAATCTCCATTATTTGATAAGAAAAAATTTTTGGATTTATTTTGTACAGTTTTGAAGCAAGTTTTCAACCTACTTCCAACCAGATTGGATATTATGAATCTCCCACTGGTTGTCATGGTGACCAACTCTCCTAGGTGAATGAATGAATTAATGAAGGTTTATTGCATTTCTAACAAAAATCAGACACTGTGTTAAGTGCTTTTTTTTTTTTTTTTTTTTTTGAGTCATAGTCTCACTGTCGCCCAGGCTGGTGGCATGGCCACCACAGCCTTCACCTGCTGGACTCAGGCATCCCTTCCACCTCAGCCTTCCAAGTAGCTGGAACCACAGTCGCTTGCCAACACACCCAGCTAATTTTTTAAAAATTTATTTTAGAGATGAGGTCTTGCCAAGTTCCCCAGGCTGGTCTCGAACTCCTGGGCTCAGGCAATCCTCTCGCCTCTGCCTCCTATTAAGTGCTTTTACAAACATTTTCATGTGCCCCCAACTTGGCCCTGTCACAGAATCATTCACACATGCCAGGAGAGGAACCCTTCTAGGCTGGGTGCAGTGACTCACGCCTGTAACCTCAGCACATTGGGAGGCCAGGGTGGAGGACTGCTTGAGCCCAGGAGTTCGAGACTAACCTGGGCAATATAGAGAGACCCCACCATCTCTATTTAAAATACGAAGGAGAAGGAGTAGAAGAACCCTCCACTGCCTTAGCTTTCACAAGAACAAAATACTGAATCTCAGGACAGAAAAGCCCAGGCTAGGAACAACAGAGGGAGTAGCCTTAGGCAAAGAGGCCTCAGGCCCACGTGATCAGATTTTTTTTTTAAATGACAAGCCTCTGGTTATATGCAGATAGTGTAATTGTTTATAAAAATATGAGATAATCTGCCAGCAAACTTTTAGAACTATTAAAAATGTCCAACAAGGTTGCTCAAAACAAGATCCATATGCAAAAAACATCAACATCCCTTTATATCATCAAAAATCAATTAGATTAGAAAATGCCATAGATAAAAAAGATCTCATTCCCCATAGCAACGAAAACTACAAGGCCCTCAGAAATAAATCCAATAAAAGAAACAAAATCTTTATGGAAAGACAAAAAAGACCAGAATAGAGAGATAGGCTATATTTATAAGTGGGAAGATGCGATTTCAGTCAGAATCCCAATAGAGCTTTTCACATAGGGGAAAGACGAGGACCAAGAATAATAGAGGCAATATTTGAAGAAACAGAAAAAGCAAGAGGAGGAGGAGGAGATGACTTGCCATGTATGATGAACCCTTTGTTATAAGGCTATAATGATCAAGACAGCATAATTTGGTGCAGAAGTAGACAAATTAGTTAACGGAAGAGGATACTTGAATATAGCAGAGGTAGCATTTCAAACAAGTGTGGAGAGAGCTGCCTTTCATTGTTATATGGCAAAACAATTCAAATTTTAGGTCTCTACCTCAACCATCAACAAAATACATTCCACGTGGATTAACTTAAATATGAAAGCTTTAAAACTTTTGAAAGGCAACATAGAAAAAAGTTATTGGAATAAAGAAAGATATTTAGGACTAAGATATTAGTGCTTATGCCTGTAATTCTGGTACTGTGGGAGGCCAAGGCAGGAGAATTGCTTGAGCCCAGGAGTTCAAGGGAACTTAACGAGACCTCATCTTCACAAGAAAATTAAAAAATTATTCAGGCATGGTGAGATGTGCCTGTAGTCCCAGTTACTTGGGAGGCCGAGCCTGGAGGATCTCTTGAGTCCAGGAGTTGGAGGTTGTGGTGAGCTATGATCACGTCACAGCTGGAGTACAGTACCACAATCACAGCTCACCGCAGCTTTGACCTCCTGGGTTCATGATCCTCCTGCCTCAGTCTCCCAAGTAGCTGGGCTACAGGTGTGTGCTACTGCGCCCAGCTAGAATTTTTTTTTTTTTTGAGTTGGAGTCTCACTCTGTCGCCCAGACTGGAGTGCAG